CCTGGGAGCAATATGCTCCAGTGTGATATGCACTGGAGTTTATTGCTGCACATTAATTGTATGTGTAGATGCATGCAGTGAGTACAAAGGAAGACCGCAGTCTTGCAAGCTGATCTGCAATTGTACCTGTGCAGACACTCACTAACTCCAGTGGGGCTTTGTGTGCATCTAAGGTTCTTCCATCATGGACCAGCTTTTGTAGGGCATGGGCCAAAACTTGGTTAAATGATGCAGATCATAGAAAGGTTAATTAGCTCAGCTAGTATGTCTCCTCACCAGAGTCTAGATGATTTAACTGGTCTTTTTCTATCTCTTAGCTCTGGCAGTTCTATGACACACAATTCACTTAGATCACCCACTGTCAATCTATGCACTAGATTGCATTCATCTGCTACACTTCAAATGACAGAGTTGCATTGTGCATGTTTTGTGTTAAAATATATATACTTAACACTTTACTAGTATGGACTAGGGATATGATTTTTTCACCCAAATAGTTATAATGGTAAAAGTCATACTGTGATGCAATTATACAAGTATAGTTATTCTGCTTCCCATATGGATACAGCTCTTCTGGTATAAGGCACCTCTTTACTCACATAACAGTACTCACATCAGGGGGTGCATACCACTTCATTACAACAGGATCCCTAAATGTGAAACAGAATGGTCCAAGTAAAAATTGTTGTTATTTGGACTGCTAACTACCACTGAGTAGCACTGTGACCATGGACTTAACAAACACTTATGTCAAAAGTTTAATTCATACACCTTTGTGTTTGTATGCAAGAAATGTTGATTTAACAGCATCTTTTGTCTGCCTTCTGTTGAAGCAGCACTAGTACATTATCAAGTATTCGCTAAACTTTTGGTTGTTTCTGCCACCTAGTGGCAGGTGCTCAGTTATGTACTACTAATAGATGACATATTAGGAACATTCAATTATGACAGATTATCTTTCATGTAAAAAAAAAATATAGAAAGTCAGCAATTTTATTAATTTAGACTATAGGGCATATCTGAAGGCTAGTACTGTACAGTCCCAGAAATGTTCAGTATCAGATTCAACAGATTATTCTGGTGCTTGTAAAACAGATAGCTTAGTGCCTAACTTTTAGGGCCGTGGATTCATGAGTGGAATCCAGAACCCTGGACTAGGTGCCTAAGGTCCTCATACATATGTTCATGGGGAGAGTTAGGCAGGCACCTCAGAAAGGAATCAAAAAACAGTCAGCATATTGTGCAAGGAACTAACTAAAGTCAGCAGGCACAGTGTGCAGCTGTCTAGAGCTGGCTACTAGGAAAAGACTGATTACTGGTCTTAAGTCCCACCTGTCAGCCCCCTCCCTCAATGGCACAAGGAAAGGTCTCTATCCACTAGGGATGCTCACCCATATTCCTCTTTTATCTCAAAAAGGGGCCAAAACAGAAAGTGGTGATAATGATGTTCCTCATTTTTATGTAGTGGCCAAGTGGTTACATCACTCACTTAGGAAGTGGAAATATGTAGGGTCAAACCCCTCCGTTGTCTTTGTTCTTTGTGTGAGTGCATTTGTGCTGGGGCCGGCATTGTCTCCACTCTTGTTAAAGTTGTATCATTGCACAAAAAACAATGCAAGATTCCTTGGACAAGACAGGGAGCCTGACTCAATAGTCTAGTGGTTATGATACTGACTTTGGAGGAGCGAGGGGATCCTGGGTTCTAGTCTCTGCTTCCGTGTCTCTCAGGCTGCATCCAGAAATGCAGGGGTAAATTTGCAGCGTGGGGCCAAAATTTGCTACCGAGATTTCTGGCCCCAGCTGGGCCCAGCCTCCAGCTCTCCCTGGCTGAAGGACCTGGGCAAGGGCAGTATGCCCATTGAGAGACAAATTGTCCTGCAACAAAGTGCATGTACAGGGGTGTGTGCTGCAGCAATTTGTGCTGCTGCAAGTGCACGCCTCTGCATGTCTGGAAACAGCCTTAGTGTTTTACATCAAACAGACATAGGGGTAAATAGGGAAACAGCCCTTCAGCTGAAGTTGGGGTCATAATTAGCAGGTCACAGAGCTGAGCCCCCTCTGTTTGGCTCAGTGAATCTTGCATTTTTTAAAACTCAATGGAACAGTTCAGCACTAAAGCAGAGTGCCTCTATATCAAATAGCTTATATCCCAGTGTTTAGGGTATTCTCCTAGGAAGCAGGTTTGAACTCCATCAGGCTGAGGAGAGAACCAAAAGTGAGTCTCCCCCTTCTGGAGTGACTGCTGTCACCTAAAAGTAGGTGCCACCCCCACAGTTAAAAGGCAATAGGGATCCATAATGATAAATTCCATCTTCAAGTGACTGGTCCAAATTCGATTAATGCAGAGTTCCTAGAGATAGTTAGCTGTGTTAGTTTGAAGTCAGACAGAAAGCGCCAACTTCTACAGAGTTCCTTGAAAATAAAAGTAAAATCTGACTATCTGCTAGCTATTGCTTGATTCAACCACGTAAACAAAATAAATTCAGGCAAACAGCTTCAAAATATCTTGAGAAATGGAAAAATAAGAACATAAGAAGAGCCATCCTGAGTTAGACCAATGGTGCATCTAGCCCAGTTTCCTGTCGCTTGACTGTGGCACTAGTAGATACCATGAAAGGAGAGCAGATGAACAGGGCACGTGTACAGCCCGTCTCATAACCTGGTATCCATAACGTTCTTCCTGACATCTATAACCTGAGCACAAAAAGAGATTCATAAATGCCTTGTCAAGCAATTTTTTTGACAATAGTAATACTATCCCACCCCTACAGTGGCTCCTAGCCAACTTGCATCAGGATTTTATTTAATTACGTCCCAGGCCTTGGTACTTTTAGATATTATAACTGCACCTGCTGTTAAGTCAGTAACAACTGGGCTATCCTCTTCTGAGTTCTGGTGTGACAGTAATCTCATTCATTCTGGTGCGCAGTTGTTGTCTGGTCTCTCCTACACAGACACCCAAGCAACCTTGTCTGCCTATGTCCTTAGACCAACACGGCTACAACCTAAACCCCTCATACATAACTAGATATTTATAGGAGAAAAAAATTACAGAAATGTGGCTTCAGTTCACTGTTCCAATTTCAGTTACACTTTACCACTTATTTGATGTATTCCAAGAGTTTCCTAAATGCTGAATCTTTTCTGAGCTCTGTTAAATGACTTAAGTGAAATCATAGGCGCTGGCTTTGTTTTTTTGGTGGTGGGTACTTGGAGACAGAGAAAAAAAAACAACCCAAAACAGACCTGGCACTTTATTTTTAACTTGGCACATTTCTGTGTCAAGCCCCAGGCATACCCAGAATAGGCAGCGTGTTACTTCAGCCCAGCTTTGCAGCATCTGTAAAGATTGGGTGCTTTAGTGGGGCTTTTATCTAATAGCTGGTTGAATCAGCTTTAGCTAAAAGCACCAAAAAGCCCGATTTTTACAGATGCTGCAAAGCTGGGCTAAAGTAATGCCCTCCTTCTTCTACTAAAGCACAGGGGTTTTTTTCATTTTTTTTAAGCATGGCTCTGTGGGTGCTGAGCACCCACCAATTTTTTTCAGTGTGTGCTTCAGCCGCAGAGCACCCACAGAGTCAGTGTGTATGAGTGAAATCACATAATGTGTTTCCTGGCCATATTTTCAGTTAAATAATACACAACAAAAAGCCTTGAACCAAACTAATTAATGCTTGAAGAGGAGAAGGTTGTGTTATTCTATGGGAGAAGTAAACTGGGCTCATACAAGGGCAGCTTTATTTTTTTTTATATTAAAAATAGAGGGAAAGGCAGGTGGATGATGCACATCTAAACCCTCTGTTTTAAGGAACTGAAATATTTGAATCCTGTTTGTTATCATGAAAGGTTTAATTGCAATAACCAAAAACGCCAACAGTTTAAAGAGAGCTAATTCAGGTTGGCATGACCTTCCCTTTGATTTGGACAGAGCATACAGTCACACTTTCCAAATCAGGATATTTCCATGAACTGTATGGGCAGCTTTTATCTCTCCCAACTTTCCATGTTTAATTTGCTCCAAGCCAACATCCCCAATTAGAAGTGAGAGTAAACTGTGGAAAAGGTGAGGGCCGCTTGCTTGGAGATTACCATGCCCAGAGTAATTTGTCCCAGAAGATGAACTTTGTTATACAATTATTAACATCCAGTATTATGTAGACAACTTGAGGTCTAGCCAGCTATTTGCAAGCAGGTTTTGTCAGTGGAAACCATCCCAACAGGTTTTGAGAGATTTTACGCTTTGGAGCAAGACAGCCTCTGCAGGTGCCTCTCAGCCCAACTTTTCTATACTTCTGCGATTCGGATACCGGTCTGTTACTGAACTGCCCACACTGCAGCATCTTGGCACGGGGACGAGCCTGAGCAATGCAGAGGGGCCTGGCACGAAATGCCACACGCATGTCTAGCTCCCCGTATGGGAACGAGCCGGCAGGCTTCAGGCCCAAGATTTTTGGGACCACCCCTGAATGTGCCTGGTCCCGCAGACAAGCTGAATTAAAAAATCAGGGAACGTCAGACGGTTGTTTGTCAATTTTATGTCGATAAAGATCTATACAATACCAATGACACTGAAAAATGGAAATGGGTGAAAGTGGAAGGGGCTGGCGACAAACCCCGGTGACGGGTAGGTGTGAGCGTGCTGGGACGGCCCCTCCGGGTACCCCCAGGTGCAGTCCAAACCCTGCTCCCCAAACCTAGGGCTTGGGCCAGAAGTTCATTACAAGTACATCTAGAAATAAAACTTTTCGTTCTTAAGGGAAATTAGGAAGAGGTTGAAAAGCAGAGGTGACGCTGTCCCCCCAGCCCCACCCCTGCCAACAGGGCGCGGACAGCGCCCAGCCCACGTGTCCGGGCACGGAGGGCAGCTGCTCCTCCGGGCGTTCTACGCGCCTGTCAGTCACTACAAGCCCCGCCCCGCGAGCGCCATGGCCACGCCCCCAAACGCGGAGCCCTCTCCCGCTTTCCTTCCCTCGCCCCCGCCGCGTTCCGCGCATGCGCCCTGCGCAGCGGCCGTCGCCCGCACGGGTGGCCTGCGCTGCCATTTTGGCCGCGCGAGGCGGCGCGCGCTGGCTGGGAGTGGCTCCCTCTGCAGCGTGTGTTTGTCACCGGCCCCCGCGAGCGAGGAGGGCGGGTGGGTGTGACGTGTGCGAGGACCTGGGGTATATGGGGGTGTGTTGGTGTATATGTGGGGGTGGGGTATATAAGCGTGATGTGTATGTGTGGGGGTGCAACTGGTATGTGTATGACGGAGGCATGTGGAGGTGGAGTATGTGTGGGGGAGTGGCGTGCAGTATACGTGTAGGGGGTATGTGTTTGGGGTGCGGGTAGAAGTGGGCATGGGTGTGATGTGTAGTTTATATGTGGGAGGGTGTGACGTGGCTTGTGTGTCTGTGGGTGTGTACAGGGTATTTTTTCTTTTAAAAAAAGTCATAGTTATTAAAATGCAAGACTGGAAATCCATCTCTTCACAGAGGCCACAAGCGAGCAGTTGCTCTGGCAATCCTTCCCTGTGTCCTGGAGGAGGCAACAGCCCCCTTAACCTGTGGTCTTGTGGCTGTTTGCAGGGGGTCCTTTCTGCTTGCTTCAGTTTGGGGGCTGCGGTGAGAGTTGTCTGGCCGGTGAAGTTTTTTTTCTGAACAACACTTTGGGGCTTTCAGGAGTTGTCTTCCGTTTCTGAAGACCTGCAAAAGTGCTTAATAGTTAGTTTTTAGTGATATAAATGAACTTGTTCCCTGTCATAACATAATCTAGTGCTAAGTAAAAGAAAAAAAAAAAGGTTATAGTTAGGGACCTACTTAATTTGTTGCTGAAGGAATTTTTGCGGCTTGGCCGCAGCATGAAGAGCCAATTTCACGGGCATTTCCTGGCAGCCTTGCCCCATAACACTGTTTGGCAAAGAGACCCCAGGGGGAAGGAGGGACTAGGGGACTCTGCTCTTCATGCTGCCCTGCCAACTGGTGCCTTCCCCTCCGGGGCAGGCTGCAAGGCAGCGAGGACTGCTGGCTCTCACTGGAGAGCTAGCATTTTGTTTTTGTCGAGGTTTTTTTAAGTTGATTTTTATGGACAATTGCGGAATTTGTAGTTTCCATGAAATCTGCAAAATAGTGAATTAAGTAGGTCCCTAGTTATAATTCTTTTTTCTATAAAATGAGCTAGCACAGTAATTGCCACTGTGACATTGGTTATTTTAGTTGCTCATTTTGTTTCCTCCTTTTCTATGTTGTTGACATGTTTATTTACATGGTAAGTTTAGGAGGTAGCTTTTAATTTTTTATATGAACAGTCCTTCATATAGTGGTGCCCCATTCTTGCTTCACAACGTGGTGGTAGCAGTGTGTGTTATGAATGCATAAGAGTAGATGCATATTTCCTTCAGACAAAAAAAAAATTGTTTACTAACGAATTGCTACGATGGATAAGGATTTTTATAGGTGATTATGTTTTATTGTACTAGCAGCCTGGTTGGGCTAGTTTTAAAACAACTTTTGACTGCAGGGCATTCTTTATTCAGAAGCTTGTCTGAAACTATCCTAACCATGTAGTTGGTCCAATAAAAAATAATCACCATACATCTTTGCCTCGTATTTACTTATATGAAATGTATTAGCTTTTCTTTTATAGCAATTATTTTTACTTGTATATTTTTTCTTAAGCATCTGAAATGCAGTGAATGTAGTATTGTTGGTGCTGTGCCCCTGCATTTCAAATTAACAGTCTTGAAGTTTCATCCTGATCCTTGTTTCATTCTCTAGGCACAGCTGTGAAGTTGGTAAGGAAAGAGGCTTTCTACCTGTTCTTTTTGGATGGACAGGCTGTAGTACCTGGACTGGTGAGTTAAGAGTGTGCACAGGTAATTGACTTGTCTGTTTTTTGGGGTTTTTTTTCTTCAGACAACTGGATGTGTTGGGAACAGGACTGGTCCCTTTTACCACTTCTTTTCTGGTAAAACAAGTCCATTTTAGAATCCCCTTGGGCATTTTAAAGTTACCTCTGCAAGGGACTCTGAAGAACTCAGGACTACTCCATTCTCCATTGAATGTCCTGACCACCAGGTTACAGAGTCAGGCTATTTTTTGTTGTTCTCTCTTGGCAAGTGAAACTTGCTTTATTCTCTGCTTAGTGGGACAGTTTTAACAGTAGTATTGGAGAGTATGCCTCAACCCAGAATAAAGGTCAGAGGAAGAAATTGAATCTAGGTTTCTAAAATATTGGCAAGAACTCTGATAAGTAGGCCACAATATATGAAAGATGAGTACTATCACGTTATTTTGGGCATATCTTACAAGAAAGTGGCAGTTACAACTTCATTTTTTGTAGAACTTAACCTTATATTAAGTGTACACTGTAAATTCCTATTGGACCCAGCGCTTGTGGAGATGTAAACAGAGGAAGACCTAGTCTCTGGATCCCTGTCAGGCTTGGATATGAGGTAGGTTTTGTCCTTGTAAGCCTGAGTTGTTTCTGGCCACGTGCAAAAGGAGTAGTTCACCTATCTGGGGGACTTAAAGGTAAACTCCCTGAAACAACTATGGCCTTAGATAAATTCTGGTTAGGTGGTATGTGAAGTGAGAATTTCCGGGATCACATTTTGGGACTTGGGTACCTAAATTCTGCCTGAGTCTCATTGTAGTGAAGGTTTAGGGTGTGGCGCAGTGCATCAGCTCTGTATTGCTCTCATCTGTTGTTTTGAGCAACTTATTATCTCAAATACTTGATTCAAGTGATTTCAAGACCACTTGGAGAGTCCAGCCCTCCCTTTTGTAAATCTTTTAGTTTATCTTAAATTTCTACCTCATTTGTCATCTTCTTCACCCCATCCCTATCAAGTCTTCCTCATAGTTCCTTGTTTTGGCTGTTTTAAATATATTTATATTTTTGCAGTAGTGGGAATCTCACTGCGTAGGAGCTATAACCTTTATACACTAGCAGCAGGTCATCCTCTTGATCCAAGTTCCTTGCAGAGGTAATTTAAAAATGCTTGAGGAGATTCTATAATGGACTTGTTTTATGACAAAGGAAATGGTAACAGGGGCCAGTCCTGTTCCCGTCACCTCCAGTTGTCTCCAGGTTTCCTCATATTTTTTTCTCAGTTCTTTGCTCCAGCAGTTACTAACAATTCTGCAGAATCATGCCCATTTGGCTTTGTATCCAGTATTAAAATCAATAATAAATAATGCATTTATTAAACTTTTTAAGAGATACTAACTGGGCTGATAATTCAGTTAATACAAGTTGTAGCAAGTAAAAGTGTGTTTGCCCTGTTTTTTGGACTATCTGCAAATTACTATACAGGCCTATATTTATATATCAGTAGTGTTCTCAGAAGATTACTATTAACTATTAGGCTAGAAGCATCTCTTTAAGACAAGCTTTTGTTCTGAATAAACTAAGCCTTAGGTTAACAGGGAGCAATTCCTAGCAACTTGTTTTCAGACAGTGGGAAAAATAGACTAGACAGACTTTGACTACTGAAAATTATTAACTAAATATCAGTCTTATTTTATAGACTTTTTTTATATTACTCAAATATTGTAAAGTTACACTATATAACATTACAAGATCATAATCACTATTAAGTCCTAATTAGGGGTGCACTGATAAGAGATTTTTTGGGCCGATACCGATGGCCTATATTTAATGAGCACTATTGGCTGATACTGACCTGATTTCTGATATAAGGCCGGGCAACCTGGAGAGCAGTGTCCAGCTGGTAAGTCTGTTGTGGCAGAAGGGGAGAAGGAAGCAGCATGGAGCAGGGGGTGGCATGCAGGTTGAGGCCCCAGCCATGGGGAAGGGAGTGGGGCTGGGGCAGGAGCGGGTGCTGCACGGCTGGGGCGAGGTGTGGGACAGAGCCGCAAACAGCTTGTCCGGTGGGTGCTGGGAAGGGGGGTACGGCTCGCACTGCTGCATGCACCCCGGGAGGGCATAGGGGGTGTGCCCCCTGATCTGCATGCAGGGCAAGGGTGGGCTACTGCTGTGGTCTGGGGCTGGAGGCGGTGCTGAGCTCTTCCCAGCGAGGAGTCTGGGGCTGGGCTGGTCTGTGCTTGGGGAGGGTGCTGGTGCTGAGAGGGGTCTGCAGGGGAGGCCTGCACTCTGCACCCTGCTTCACATCCTCCCTCACTGCTGGGGCCTCGATCTGTCTCCCCCCCGCCCATGTCCCTTTCTTCACAATAGACTTAGCAGCCAGACTTGGCTGCTCTCCATGGTGCCGGGCTGTGCTCCTGGCCAGCTGCATGCTGTGTGGCGGCTGCATGCATGCATGGGGCACTTATCAGCCACATTATCAGACACATAATTGCTGATACTATCAATATTCTGTATATCGGTGCTGATCCAATATGGGACAGATATATTGGTCAATTTCTAGTCCTAATCCATCCTGAACTTGAATGTTGGTTAACTGCAGGTTAGATTTTTTTAAATAAGAGATCTGAAAAATATTTAATAAAATTAACCAATATATAGGTACAGTAGAGAGGAATTAATATATTATAAATAGCAGGGGTGTAGGTTGTAGCCATGTTGGTCTAAGGACATAGGGAGACCAGGTTCTTTGGGTAAATCTGAGATCTTTTATTAGACCAACTCATATAGTTGGAAAAAATATTCTTAACAAGCTTTTGGGTTTAAATACCCTTTGTCTGGCTGAGGAAGCATCTGCAGTTGGTGTGTGCTCTTCCTGGGTGGAATGAATAGTAAAAAAGTCAGAGGCTGGGCTGTTATGCATGCAAGACAAGCTATCAATGAAGATGTGAATTGAGGAGTCAGTGGGTGAGAGACAGGTTGAGGGGAGAGAACGGGGAAAGGGAATGAATGTAGCTGGTGAATAGTGGAAAGGTACCTGGGGACTCAGATGTCAGGCAGTTCATAAATCCAATGTCTATATTTATTGCATGATTTTTGTATCCAGGAGGCTGATGAAGTGAAGATCGTAGGCTCATTTGTGAAAAGTGTTTTGTAAGTTCCTTTTGAGGATTAGAACTGAGAGATTGGAGAGAGAATGGTTTTCTTGTGAGAAATGTGCCCCCCACAGGTAATTGGGGAACATCTTGTCTTTGATAGATTTCCAATGTGCGTTCATTCTGGTGCGCAGTTGTTGTTTGGTCTCTCCTACATATTTTCCATCAGGGCATTTGGTGCATTGGATGAGATGTATTACATTTCTGGAGGTGCAGCTGTAAGATCCAAGAATGCTCATGGTTCTGTTGTGAGGTGTAGTAATTGTGAGGGTGGTGGAGATACGTTGGCAGGTTTTACATTTTTTGTCCCGGCGTGGTCTGGATCCGTTTGGTGTGTTTTGGGCCATAGGAAGCTTGCTTCTGCTTATGAGGTGAGCGAGGTTCGGAGCTTGTTTGAAGGCTAGTGTGGGTGGTTCTGGGAAGATCTGTTTAAGAATTGGGTCTCCTTGTAGTATGGGTTGTAATTGTTTGAGGATTTTCTATCTAGGTTTGAGGGAGGGGTTTTCATAGAGTTTATAGACATTAGGGATGGAAGGGACCTCAGAAGATCAAGTCCAGCCCCCTGCCCCAGGGGCAGGAAGTCAACAGGGGTCATAGGATCCCAGCAAGATAAACATCCAAATGTGTCTTGAAGGCGTTCAAAGTAGGTGCTTGAACCACCTCCAGCAGCAGTCCATTCCAAACCTTGGGGACTCGGACAGTAAAGAAGTTCTTCCTTATGTCCAGCCTGAATCAGTCACAGAGGAGTTCGTGAAGTGCACAAGATCTGTGCCAGGGGTGGGCTATGCTTGCCAGCTCCTTGAGTGCCTTGGTGTAAGCTGTCAGGGCCGGATGACTTGAAGGTATCCAGCCTCTCAAGGTGTTTCTTCACAAAGTCAGCATTGACGGAGGGTAAGGAATTTCCGTCACTCAGGCCTTCCTGCCCCGTAATGGGCAGGGGTGTCACTTGGGACTGGTGAAAAACCGATGCAAGGTACCCATTTAGCAAGTTGGCTTTTTCCTGGGCGTTGGTTGTCAGTTGTCCCATCTGGTTTAGTAGGGGTCCAATGTTGCCCTTGCTTTCCTCTGGCTCCCCACATATCTAAAAAAGGACTTTTTATTGTCCTTGATACTTGTAGCCAGTTGGAGTTCAGTTGCAGCCTTGGCTTTCCTGGTTCGCTCTCTGCTGGTTCGGACCAGTGCAGAATATTCCTCCTTGGAGGTGGATCCCGTTTTCCATCCTTTGTAGGCCTTTCTTTTTAGACACAGGAGATATGCTAGTTCCCTGCAGAGCCAAAGGGACCGCCGTGCCCTTTTGCTGCCTTTCCTCCGAGATGGGATAGACTTTGCTTGTGCATCCAGGATCACTTCCTTAAGGAGCAACCACTCTTCCTGAACTCCTCTCCCCTTTGGGTTGTGGTCCCTTAGGGCCTCACTGACAAGCTTCCTGAGCTTGTCAAAGTCAGCGTTCCTGAAGTCGAGGACTTCTGTATTGCTGACTAATTTGCCAGCTTTATGGCAGACGGTGAAGGTGATCAGCTAGTGGTCACTGTCACCCAGCTTCCTTTTGATCGTTAGGTTGCTGATAAGGTCGTCCCCCATTGCCAGTACCAGGTTGAGCAGTGCTTTGTCTCTCATCAGCCCGTAGACTTTTTGTGTCAGAGCTCATCCACGCACATGAGAAAGCTTTGCGACAATTCGGATTTGGCTGAGTGCTCTTCCCATGAGATGTCCAGGTAGTTGAAGTCTTCCATGATAACCATGATCTGGGAGTGTGTGGCCTCGGACAGTTCACTGGTGAACTCCTGGTCAAGCTCTTGATCCTGGGTCGGAGGTCTGTAATAGATTCCCAGCATTGTGTCCCCTGTGCCATATCCCCCATGGATTTTAACCCAGAGGGCCTCCAGTCATCCACCCTGGGCACCAATGTCAGCTTGCAGAGACGCTTTCATTGACATAGAGAGCTACACCCCCGCCCCTTTGGTCTACTCAATCTCTCCTGTACAAGGTATAGAAGTCTATACCTGTGGCCCAGTAATGGGTGGAGTCCCACCAGGTCTTTGCTATCCCCACGACATTGTAATTATTTGTGTTGAAAAGGAGGACAAGTTCCTCCTGTTTATTCCCCAAGCTCCTGGCATTTGTGTACAGGCAGGCAAGTGTCCCTTTGGGGGCCCTTGCCTCCCCACAGATCGTTCCAGGGTTGGGGCAGGGGTGGGCTCCCTAAAGTGCTTTAGCCTCCTGGCTTTGCAAGGGTTGCTCAGCAGGCCAGCAGTGGTGGTATTTCCCCCATCCCCCAGCGGGCTTAGCTTAAAGCCTGGTAGAGCAGGTCAGCCAGTCAGGCTGAGAAGAGCCTCCTCCCCAGTGAAGAGAGGTGGAGGCTGTCCCTTCCCAGTAGCTCACTGCCTCTCTCACCAAAGATCAGACTGTGGTCATGGAAGCCAAAGCCTTCCCGATGACACCAGCGCCAGTCTTTGGTTCCTCTGGGGAGCCGGAGGAAAAGCAAGGGCAACATTGGACCCCTGCTATACCAGATAGGAAAACTCACTACCGATGTCCAGGAAAAAGCAAACTTGCTAAATGGGTACTTTGCATCAGTTTTTCACCAGTCCCATGGGATGCCCCTGCCCACTGCAGGACAGGGAGGCCTGGGTGAGGGAGATTCCTTACCCTCCATCAAAGCTGACCTCATGAAGGAACACCTTGAGAGGCTGACGGTTTACACCCAAGGGTACTCAAGGAGGTGGCAAGTATCATAACTCGGCCTCTGGCACGGCTCTTTGAGAACTCATGGTGATCTGGTGAAGTGCCCGAAGTTTGGAAGAAGGCCACCGTTGTGCCTATCTTCAAGAAAGCAGATCTGGCAAACTACAGGCCCATCAGCCTGACCTCTATCCTGGGGAAGGTCTTGGAAAAGATTATCAAAGAGGCCATCTGTAACAGACTATCTGATGGCAATATCCTGAGGGATACCCAGCACGGGTTTGTTGCAGGTAGGTCTTGCTTGACCAATCTCATTTCCTTTTACGACCAGGTGACCTATCACCTGGACAAGGGGGAAGAGATTGCTGTCATATATCTTGACTTTAAAAAAAACCTTCGATCTGGTATCCCATGATCACCTCTTGGCAAAACTGGCTAACTGTGGCCTCGATCTCACCATTATCTGCTGGCTAGGGAAATGGCTCCGCAGTAGGACCCAGAGGGTGGTGGTTGGCGGAAGTCAATTGTCGTTGTGCGCTGTGACCAGTGGGGTCCTTCAAGGGACTTGAGGGTCATGATTGACCACAAGATGAACGTGAGCCTTCAATGTGATGCTGCGGCTAGTAAAGCGAGCAAAAAGCTGGCTTGTATCCATAGATGCTTCTCAAGCAAATCCCAGGATGTCATTCTCCCGTTGTACTCAGCCTTGGTGAGGCCACAGCTGGAGTACTGCGTCCAGTTTTGGGCTCCAGAATTCAAAAAGGATGTGGAGAAGCTTGAGAGAGTACACAGGAGAGCCACGTGCATGATCAGAGGTCAGGAAAACAGACCTTATGATGAGAGGCTGAGCGCCATAGGACTCTTCCGCCTGGAAAAGCGCAGGCTCAGGGGTGACCTGGGGACCACCTATAAGTTTATCAGGGGTGTTCACCAGGATCTGGGGGAACATCTGTTCACCAGAACACCCCAAGGGATGACAAGATCGAATGGTCACAAACTCCTCCGCAATTGATTCAGGGTGGACATAAGGAAGAACTTCTTTACTGTCCGAATCCCCAAGGTTTTGAATAGACTGCCGCTGGACAAGCACTTACTTTGAACGCCTTCAAGATACATTTGGATGTTTATCTTGCTGGGATCCTATGACTCCTGCTGACTTCCTGACCCTGGGGCAGGGGACTGGACTCTGATCCTTCAGGGTCCCTTCTAGCCTGAATGTCTATGTCTATAAAGTACCTTTTTGTTACTAGACTGTCTTATTGCTAGGATGAATCTTATAAAGACTCATGCACAAGCAGCGCTGATACATGTAAGGAGGTATGTTTATAGGTATATAACTATAACATGGGTTCACAGAAAGATCTGAAAGAACAAAACAAGTTAACCTTTAAAATAATAGATCTGAACACTAAGCCTTCCTGATTTGTGGCTTATGAGAGCAGAATTTCTTTCAAGTTATCTAGTAGGCAAGAATCCACAACTCAGCCCCTAAATACTCTCCAAGGTATTTGTAGAATGACAGGCACCCAATTTGCCTGAGATGGTGTGAATATCAGAGAAGTAGCTTCTGTTTTTGTTTTTCTAAAAATATTGAGACCTCTGTGTCTGTAGATGTAGATACAAAAGAAACAGATGAGTATTTCTTAGGACCACTCTCTGTTATACTTCTAGTAGGGACATAAAATAAGCCAGAAATCATAGTAGCAAGTCTTGGAAGAACTCATTTCATTTAGTGAACAAATGCAGGCAGTGTTAACTGAGACTTGTGCCAAAGGTGTCCAGTTATGCAGACAAGTTGAATTTAAAATCAGTAAAAGTAAAATTGATATAAGTTTCTATGTCAAATGGACCAATAAAGATATATAGAATACAAATTACATTACAAAATAAAAATGGGTGAAAGAATGTGAATAGAAAAGAGGCAGATTCATAATTTTTCCTTGTTTTTCAGGTAAAATGGATTCCTTGTCTCCATCACCTAAATTTTTAGACGTGGACCTAATGATAAGTCATGTAGCATGTCATCCAAAAGAAATACTTGTGACATTTCAGGGCAAATCTAAGACAGAATGTGAATTTGACTACCATATATTACAAAATGAAATACAGCATGTATGCAAAGTAAAGGACAACATTGGCATTGGTGAATCATGTTTGGTAGAGGATGCAAATGGAGAGTGGCATAGAGGAAGAGTGGTGGAAAAGAGAGAAGAGGTCTGTGAAGTGTTTTTTGTGGATATTGGGAAACTGCTAATAGTCAACAAAACACACATTTCTTCTGTGAGTGGTCAATTGTTCCAGCTTCCTCCCAAGGTGCTGTATGGTGTTTTTGCAAATATACTTCCAGTTGGGGAAAAATGGTGTCCGAAAGCTGTGAATTATTTTTCTTCTTTAATAGGATTACGGATTAAAGGACATGTGCAAGCTATTTTGCCCTACCAGACATTTCTTCTTGAAGTGCCAAAAGTCACCAGTGATGTCCTTGAACTCCATTTAGGAAAACTTGTTGATGGACATTCTTTTCGTCTTATTGTAGAAATGTTAAAGGAATTCCCTCAGGGAGCGATTGATAACAAATTGCCAGATTTGCTCCAGCAAAAATATACAAGGCCAGATTTGTTCTCTCTCAACAGTGCTGAGAATTTATCAGATTTTCAACCAATTCTGGATAATCTCCTGCTGCCTTTAACTGTTGGCAGTATAGAGAAAGTAAAAATAACTGCTGCGGTCAGTCCAAGTAAGTTTTATTGTCAAGTACTGAAATGGCAGAAGGAACTGGAAGATCTGACAGCAGCAATGCATTTATACTATGAAGCTATCAGTAAAGAAAATATTCCATCTTGTGATAGTTTTGGAGTACTCTGTGCTGCCAAAACACAAAATGGACAGTGGCACAGAGGAGCAATACAGCAGCTCCTCTCTGCTGACCAGATAAAGGTCTGGTTCATGGATTTTGGCCACAGTGAAGCTGTGCCCTCCAGTTGTGTTCTGAAGCTTAAATCAGAATTCATTTCCTTACCAATGGTTTCATTCCCATGTGCACTGACATGTTGCAGTAATCAGAACGAAGCTGCAATGAATCTTCAACTGAAAGAATTTAAACAAGCAGTGGTATGGCAAACTTCTGTCTATGCATGCATTGATCTGTTCAGTGCTAATGAACGTTTATACTATGTTACATTACAAAGTAAAGAATCTGAAATTAATGCTAAATATCTCAAACAGGAAAAAGTAGCTGTAGCAGTTTCTGATCCTAATGCAGTTTTGTCCACTTGTGGTGAAAATAGTGTTTCAGGTACAAATGTTATTGGCAATACTGAACAGACTGGAAACTGCTTAATTGAAAAGAACTCTTTATCAGTCCAGTGCAAAATGGCAGAAATAAAAATAAATTCTAATCATGTTGCTTTTGTGAAGTATGTGTTAAATCCATCAGACTTCTGGATTCAGACTGCTGACTGTCAAAATGAGTTTCAAACCATGCTGAAAAATATTGCAGGTGTGTATAATGAATGTGGAATTAATGATAGAGTTGTTGAAAACCCAAAACCTGGCTTACTCTGCTGTGCCCGATATAGCAAAGATATGCATTATTATCGGGGTATTATCACTGAAGTGGTTGGTGTGAACGTTAGTGTGTTTTTTTTGGATTTTGGAAATACAGATATTGTGCCGTTTCATGATGTGAAAACTTTGCTTCCAGAGTTTTGTGAATTACCAGCACTAGCTTTGTGTTGTGAACTTGCTCATGTATCTCCCAAAGAGGATGTGTGGGTTAAAAAGGAAACTGATTTCTTTAAAAAGATTGTATTTAACAAACCACTCCTGCTTCATGTCATTGCGAAGCAAAATGAAAAGTATATTGTGAATGTACAATTTATGAATGGCTTGAAACAAATGAACGTTGTCACACTTATGGTCCAGGCTGGATATGCTGAGTACTGGGAAATGAAACCAAATTCTCTTTTGGACATTGTAAAAAATCCTCAACTTCCAAGTCCCCAGAACAAAAACAAAATATATAAAAATGCACAGGGCATGTCTGTTATACATAAAAAGAGTGAATCAGCAACCAGAAATACCTATCAAAACAGTCAATTATTAAACATTCTTCCTGCAGCCAACAAATCTTTTGCATCTTTTCCAAGTTGGGAAAGTGCTATATCTAAAATGCATCATATGGTATCTGGGAGAAGAGAGTCTATGAAGCCTTATAAAGAGTTCATGTTCAAACCAGGAACAGTTCTTGATGTTGTATGTTCACATATCAATTCTCCAGGAGATTTTTCGTGTCAGTTACGAAGCAAATTGCCAGAGCTGATGAACTTGATGGAACGAATTCAGAATCACTATGAAGTGCACAGCAGTCCTTATACAACTGGACAGATTGCCTGTGTTGCCAAACACTCCAAGGATGGGAAGTGGTACAGAGCATCCATTGTGAAACAAATATCTAAAACTGAAGTTGATGTGATATTTGTAGACTATGGAAATCGGGAAAGA